TGGATTGGGTTGCCATTGCCTTCTCCGGAAGTAAAGCTAATATCTCATATGAAAATTCAGTCAAAATAAACAGTTGACTTAAATGTAAAACATAAAACTATATACCTTTTTGAGAAAAACATAGGGGAAAAAACTTCAGTTTTATGGTGGGGCAAAGAGTTTTTAGACCTAACTCGAAAAATATGACCCATAAAATAAAAATGCATAAATTGGACCTCATCAATATTAAAGTCTTTTGCTCTGCAAGTGAAGAAAATGAAAATGCAAGTTACAGATTCAGGAAATATTGACAAGTTGTATATTTAATGAAGGACTTATATTTGGAATATATAAAGAATTCTCAAAACTCTGTGGTAAAAACACAAACACCCAAGTTAGAAAATGAGCAAAAGATATAAAGAGACAATCCACCAAGTTTATACAGATGGCAAAAGTTCGTATGAAAAGATGTTTAACATCATTAGCCGTGAAAGTGAAAGTGTCTTGGTCCTGTCTGACTCTTTGTGACCTCATGGACTATACAGTCCATGGAATTCTCTAGGCCAGAATACTGGAATGGGTAGCCTTTCCCTTCTCCAGGGGATCTTCCCAACCCAGGGCTTGAATCCAGGTCTCCTACATTGCATGTGGATTCTTTACCAGCTGAGCCACAAGAGGGATATCACAATTAAAAACTCAATGAAATATTGGTATACAACTATCAGACTGTATAAATAACATGAAATGTTAGCAAGGAGCCAGAGAGATTGGATCACTCATATTTTACTGGCGGGAATATAGCCTAGGTCAGATACTCTGGAAGACAGTTTCACATTTTCTTATAAAACTAAACATGGCTTTAATATACCACCCAGAAATTGCATTCTTAGGCATTTATCTCAGGGAAATGACAATGTATATTCCAGAAAACCAATACACCAATTTATCCATGATAGTGCCAAACTGAAAATAATCAGGTATTCTTCAATAGGTAACAAACAGACTGTGTTATCCATACTATGGAATACAATGCAGAAATGGAATGATCTGCTGTTAATAATGGTTTGTATGAATCTCCAGAGAATTATGCTGGATAAAAGCCACTGATTCCAAAAGTTTACGTACTGTATACCTTCATTTGTAGATTATTTTTGAAATGAAAAAAAAATAGAATTGGAAAACAGATTAGTGATTGCCGGGTTTGAAGGATGGGGCTGGAGGTCAGTATGGTTATAAAAGGTAACACAAGGATTCCCTGAGCTGTTCTGTGTGTGGATTTTAGTGGTGGACATATGAACTTACATATGGTATATAATTGTGTGACTCTATATACATACACACTCACAAATAAGTAGAAGTGATACTGGGGGGTATTTAAATGCTAGTAGTGGATCATGGCAGTGTTAATATCCTGGTAATGATAATGTGAAACTGTCATAAGACGTTACCTTGGAGGAAATCTGAGTGAAGAGCATACAGAATTGCTCAGGAGAGAGTTGAAGTTTCAGAGAAGATACCCCCATCCTAATTTCTGTGTTGCAAAACCACTCAGGGACTTCTTGCTACCTTGCTATCAGAGCAATTTGGTATGGGAATGTTAGTGTAGGAAATATTTGACCTTCACTCCTTGGAGTTTAGAAAGTATAGAGAGTATTGCCTGATTGGGTTCCCTGGTGGCTCAGAGGTTAAAGCGTCTGCCTCCAATGCTGGAGACCCGGGTTCGACCCCTGGGTCGGGAAGATCCCCTAGAGAAGGAAAGGGCAACCCACTCCAGTATTCTGGCCTGGAGAATCCCATGGACAGAGGAACCTGGTAGGCTACAGTCCCCGGGGTCGATCTTTCCATGAAGTCTAAGACCAAAGTCTGGCTGAAGCTGTCTGCCCTAGCAGAGCGGGGGGTGGGGGGAAGCTGCACTGAAAGTAGCTTGCACTTCATCCTTTGAAGATGGGGAGTAGGTCCTGGCTCTGGTGGACAAAGGAGCTAGTGCCGGCGTGAGGGTCCCCAGTATGCGCCGACGTGGCAGTGGGACGGGTGGTACATAAGCATAACTGTGAGGTCACGGCCCATCCTAGTGAGCATTGCAGGGAAGGTCCTCAGCACAATCAGGTGGGCCTGTGGAGGGGAGGAGACCTCAGAGGCCCACAGAGGCTCGTCTGGAAAGAAAGAGCCAACCTTGGGGCATCTGCCATGCCTTCATTGAATGGAACCTTTGCATCCTTTCCTTTTGGCTTCCTGCCTACCTCTTCAACTTAGGAGAGACCACAGACAGCACCATTAGTGGCAATGGAAGAGTGGGAGAGTGAGGTAGAAAAAGCAGTAAAGATGGATCCTTCCGCTCAGCTCCCTCCCTCTCCCCAGCCCCAAGTAGGGGGTAGGAAGCAGTTTTCACTGAATTTCCAAAGAAGGTTTGTACATAACAATTAGACTCCTTGTTCATACCTCCACTGACCAGAAAGCTTTGAGATTAGCCTGAGATATTTTTCAAGGACAGAAAGGAGAAGTAAAATATAGTGAGTTTGAAAAGGCAGTGAAGACAGAACAGTGTTTCTTTCTTTACCTTCCACTGAATCTAGCCCATTCAATAACCTGATATAGATGTACATATATAGATACACATTTTAAATATCATTGTCTTGATAGAAAAGAAAGACTAGAAGATTATATAATAAAGCATTCATCATAGTTATATCTGGATAATGTTATTTCAGCTGTTTTTGATTTAATTATTTGATCTTTTGCATACTTTCTAAATACTTTATATTTGGAATTAGAACAGTGTTATTTTAAAATAATGTTGAAAGCATCTTGGACACCAATTTCGGTGGCATGTAACTGTGACCCTACATTTGGCAGTTTGTAAGTGGTTTTTGCTGATCAGCCAGACTTCCTGGATTCGAGCAATCTTTGGGAGTAGTAGAAAAGAGTAATTTTTCATGTGTCATTGAAGGTTCAGTTAGATGATGGTTAATGTTTTTTCAGCCCCATAATTCTTCTGTATTTTCCCAAGTTATAATTTATTCATTGTCCTTATCTGTCTCGGTATTGGGATCATAAAAGTATTAAAGAGTTTCTTGCCTTACATATCTCAACGCAACAGATGCGGTGGTCGGACATCACAGGTCCATGTTGTCAGTTGTATGTGCCCGCATACAGCAGGGGCATGTACAAGGTGTGACACAAAGACAGAAGACTCTGGTCCGTGACAAGGGCAGCAGGAAAGACTTTAATAGCGAGGTGATGTTTGGGTTGAGATTTGAAAATCTGCAAGCTTGGCAGAAAAGAAGGGAAGGAGCAGAGGGTGCCAGGCAGTGGGGAAACAGGAGGATGCTCATGAAGCTTGGAGAGGCTCTGGCACATTCTCTTTCCCACTCAGGGTGAGGGGGCTGAAAGGGGTTAGAGTAGAAGAGATTTGAAGCCACAAATCAGCAGGCAGTTGGGAGATGAACTAGGGTCTGAGAACCTGGAGGAAAGACTATTCAGGTGTATTTGAGGTCAGAGAATTCAAAGTCCTCAACAAAAGCAGGGGTAAATGGACAAGAGAGAGAGATATCTTGGTGTATTTAGATGTAAAACATGTAGGCAAAGGGCTTCCTTGGTGCTCAGATGGTAAAGAATATGCCTGCAATGCAAGAGACCAGAGTTGATCTCTGGGTTGGGAAGATCGCCAATGGCAACCCACCAGCATTCTTGCGTGGAGAATCCCATGGACAGAGGAGCCTGGTGGGCTGTAGTCCATGGGATCACAAAGAGTTGGATACAGCTGAGGGACTAAGCTCATATGTACACATGCATGTGGGGATAGAAGAAGTCAGATGATTCCAATTTATATACTATATAAAAAGGCAAGGTTTTGTTAACATAGAGGATGCCCTGTGGGAATGACTAAAAGATACTCCCTCTTGACAGGTAAATGGCAAAAGTGATTTTCTCTGGGAAGAAAGTGACAAAGAGGTGTACCTTCCTCTCAGGGTCTCTAGGACCTGTCTGCCCTGCCGCAGGGCACAGTTTGGCAAGGAGAGCATGGGCTGGGTCTCAGTCCTCACGCATCACTGAGGCCAGCATCCTTCCTTGAATGAACAGACTGCAGAGCCAGAGACCAGTGCTCTGACTGCAGCCAGATAGAAGGAGTCTCTTAAAGCCCATGACCTTCTGGGGTTTGTAGAAAGGAAACCTGTGAGGTGCAGAAGATCAAAGTGTCACATAGAAATAGTTTCCCTTTGCTTGGCTGAATGGAGACAAGTTAACAATATGTATCTCTGTAATATTCAGAGCAAAGTAGACATTTATGAGGTGTTATATCACCAGCAAGTTATTCTTCCTCCCACAACTTGAGAAAATATTTTAATAATATTTCATTAGAAAAAATATTTTTCTTTTTATATAAAAAGGTCCATTTTTTTTTCTATATTACTTCTACTATATTTGGGGACCTATGTTACTTCTGTAGAAGTGAATCTCCATTTTAATCATGGAGATTATTAAAAAAAGATGAGTGAAGAATACAAATGCAGTTTTTAAGCTTTCTAAAAGGTTTCTTTTTGCAGAACACTTTTAGAATGATGCACAATTTTTTCTTACTATCTTCAAATTTTCCTTCATAAATCGTAGGCCAATAGGATTTTTAGAAACTATAGAACCAGCCCTAAAATCATTGATTAATTAGATGCAAATATAATAGGCTAGCTATTTCAAGTCATTAAACTGAACCCATAGCAGAATTCATATTATAAATACACTTGACAACCTTAATATAAATGCTGCTGGTGCAATATATAACATTGATCCTTTAGTTGGGATGAGGTTAGAGAGAGCAGGTAACTTCATCACAGTTAGTATATTGGTAATTAATGAAAGAAAAGTGATATGATCAGCCCCCCACCATACCCTGTAAATCACCAGCAGAATCAGTCACCGGGAGAACAGGCAGAAAGAAACAACTCAGGTCGTCGCCAGAGGCAGTGGGTGTGGAAGAGCCCTCAGCACTGAGGAGGCCCTCCCGGGCTCCAGGGGAAGCCACATGCATGCACAGAGAAGCTGTGAAGGATGAAAACGACACCAAAGTGTGTAAGAAAGCTTCAAGGCAGAAACTGGTCTCAGCAGGAAACGTAACTGGCATCAAGAGTCGGCTAAGAAACGCTAAAGAAAAGGCCCAACCCACGGAAGACCCAGCCAGGGTCAAAGAGCCCTTCCAAAAGCCCAACCAGACTGAGGAACCAGGGAATGATGTGAAAATCGCTCCTGCACCCCACCAGTCTCTGCCAGCAAAACCAATCACCAGGAGAACGACCAGACAGAGACGGCTCAGGTCACCACCAGGAAAAGTGGCCATGGAAGAGCCCTCAGCATCCATAGGGCCCACACAGACACCCGGGGATACACACACAGAGCCTGTAGGCAAAGGAAAAGACATCAAGGTGTTGAAGGAAACTTCAGGGCAGAAACTCAGTCCTGCAGAGAGTGTAACAGGCATCAGGATTCGGCTAAGAACACTAAAGAAAAAGACCCAACCCCTGGAAGACTCAGCCAGTGTCAAAGAGCTCTTCCAAAACCCAGATCAGGCCAAAGAAGCAGAGAGTGATGTTACAATAGCTCCAGGGCCCCGCCCATCCCCACCAGCAGAACCAGTCACCAGACCAACAAGCAGAAAGAGGCGGCCCAAGTCATCACCAGAGAAAGTGGACAAAGAAGAGCCCACACCAACACCAGGGGAAAGCAGGTGGGGCCAGCCTGTAGGTGATGAAAAAGACAGCAGAGTGCGGAAGGAAAATCCAAGGCAGAAACTCAATCCTGCAGAAAATGTAACTGGAGTCCGGAGTCGGCTAAGAACACTGAGGGAAAAGACCCAACCCCTGGAAGACCCGGCCAGTGTCAAAGAGCTCTTCCAAGACCCAGATCAGGCCAAAGAACCAGAGGGTGATGTTACAACCATTCCAGTGCCCCGCCAGTCTCCACCAGCAAAACCCGTCACCAGACCAACAAGCAGAAAGAGGCAGCTTAAGTCGTTGCCAGAGAAAGTGGATGTAGAAAGGCCCTCAGCGCTTAGAGATCCCACACGAACACCGCGGGAAACCACACACAGTGAGCCTGTACTTGATGAAAAAGACAACAGAGTATTGAAGGAAGATTCAAAGCAGAAACTCAATCCAGCAGAAAATGTAACCGGGGTCAGGAGCCGGCTAAGAACCCTGAAGGAAGAGACCCAACCCCTGGAAGACCCGGCCGGTGTCAAAGAGCTCTTCCAAAGGCGAGATGGGGCCCAGGAGCCAGTGAGTGATGTTACGACGGCTCCAGCACCCCGCCAGTCTCCGCCAGCACAGCCAGTCACCAGGAGAACAGGCAGACAGAGACAGCTCGGGTCACCACCAGGAAAAGCGGCTGTAGACGAACGCTCAGCGCTCTGCAGGCCCGCACAGACTCCAGGGGAAGCCACGCACGCAGAACCTGTGGGCGACGAGAACAAGATCAGGACGGCCAAGGAAACGTCAAGGAGGGGCCCAGACTCGGCAGAAGACGGCACTGGCGCCAGGGGTCGGCGAAAAGCATTTAAGGAGAAGACTGTGGAAGACGCGGCCCGTCTCCAGGATCCCTTCCAAAAGCCCGATCAGGCCGAGGAACTGGAAAGCAATGCTACTGCCATCAAGAGAGCCCCAAAGCAAACAGCGGACAGAAGACCTGTCGAAACATCCCGAAGAGTCCTCAGGGCCCGTAAAGTAAGGTTCACAGAAGATCTTGTGGGCAGCAGAGACCCGGCCAAACTCCCAGGTGAAAGCTGCGTTTCCCCGTCCCCCGAGAGGGACCAGGGAGAAGACGGGAGGGTCACAGGCAGGAAAAGGCTGTGCCCCGTGACAGCTGCCCAGGACCCCGAGGACGAGAGGCCACTCCAGAAGAAGCAGAGGACAACCCCCAGGGAGACACGGGGGCCCCCCTCACCCTCGAGAGTGAAGAAGAGAAGCCTGCGGACTTTGGCACAAAGGACTGAGCCTGTGGGAAACCTGCCGGACGATGACCTGAAAACTAAAGCTACGGATCCACGAGGAGAAGTCGCACAGGCTCCGAATAAGGGAGTGTCCCTGCGTTCCAGGCGTCCTGCTAAAACTTGTGTAGAGGAGCAAAGACCTGAGGTTCTTATATCAGCAGAAAAGGAAAGTGACAACGTATGTGTCAAGAAAATAAGAACCAGAAGTCGTCGAGACCCTGAAGATATGTAGCTAGGAAGTTTAACAGGGGGAAAATAGTAATGAATTTAGTGATAAGTTGTAGTACAATATTTGCCATAAGTTTTAAAGTGAATTCTGTAAATAATGCTGTTGGGGATGGGGTGGGGTGGGTGTTTAAGGGAAGAAGGCTTAGAATTTTCTAACTAGAGTTTATTCAAAAGCCCCCACATGGAAATTATGAAGGAGACTGCTGAGTCTCCTAAATTAGCAAAAACTTTAAAACTTGAGTAGGGGGGCGGGGGGGGGGGGGCGGTGATGGGAGTTTGCATCTCGGCCAGTGAAGCCGTGAGGTCTGCGACCGGCGCGGCCAGTCCCCGTGGGCCGAGGGCTCCATCACGTGCCACGCCGCTGTAATGCTTCTCTGTGTGTGTGTCCTGCGTGTCGTTCGTCCTCCATGAAATGTGAAAGGCAGGGGCCTCTCTCCAGCACTGGCAGGCACTCAGGACGCAGGCAGGGATGGGCAGAGGGCTAGAAAAACGAGAGTTAGGGTGTCCGCCTTCCCCGTGGGGAGACCGCGGTCCAGGCCCTCGGCTGCGGGTCACCTGCTTCTGCCCTGGCCTCGAGGGAAGAGGCGTGTGATCCGGAGGCTGGTCTGTGCCACCACCTGCAGGGTGACGCGACGCTGTTTGAGGAAGGCCTGACCGCTTGCCTTTTTCCCGGGAGGTGTGTGCGAACTAGGACTGCTCTCATCTGAGAGGGCGTCGCCCCACCCGGCTGAGGGCCGTTGCCCACGTGCCTCGACCCCGCGCTGTGACGCCCGCTGCGCGCTCGGGCCACGTTTTCCGAGTCTCCTCCGCTCTGCTCTCTGCTTTCTCTGCCCACACGTGTTGGCCTGGCCGCGCGCCTTCCCCTCCGACGGGAGGCGCCCCCAGCCCAGACGCCCTGCCCCCAGGAACAGCGGCCGTTTCTGACGCTCGGAGCTGGAGGCCCTTGCATCTGGTTTTACGCCTGGAGTCCGCCCCTCTTCGGTTTCAGAGCCGCCCGTCTCACTGCCGTTTCCCTCTGTCCTCTGGCTCCTCCGTGTTCCCAGGTCAGACGCGAGCGCCCCGTCCCTCCAGGCACCCGTGTGAAGGCCTCCCCGTCCGCCCACCGCTCCTGGTGGGGGCGAGGCTGGAGGACGGGAGGGTCCCTGCCCGAGCGCGTGGGCTCTCACCCCTGCCTCTGTCCACTCTTGTGTTCCTCCCCGAGTCTGGCACGGCGAGGTCCACATCACAATAAATGCTTTTGAACAAAAAAAAAAAAAAAAAAAAAAAAAAAAACAAACCAAAAAAAAAAAAAAAAAAAAAATTCCCTACCTAACAGACACCACTGAGTTTTTTTTTTTTTTTTTTTACATTAATGCTGTTTCAACTCTAGTGGGAGAATCAACTTAGCTGGAAATAGTAACATAATTCTCAACTTAAAGATCAACTCAATAGTAAGAACGTTTGGAAAAGTCTGCAGAAAATGTGATAGTGTTCATAAGAAAGATTATTTACAACATAAGTTTCAGTTAACATTATTTGTTCCTATTTTTTAATCTTACCTGTCTCTATATCCATGGAACCTCAGCAAGTGTCTGACATCGAATAAGTGCTTTAAAAATGTTGAAAAGTGAAAGTGAAGTCGCTCAGTCGTGTCCGACTCTTTGCGACCACATGGATGGTATCCTACCAGGCTCCGCTGTCCATGGGATTTTCCAGGCAAAAATACTGGAGTGGGCTGCCATTTCCTTCTCCAGGGGATCTTTCCAGCCCAGGAATCGAACCCGATTCTCCTGCATTGCAGACAGATGCTTTACTATCTGTGCCACTAGTGGAACATTCATTATAATTATATTATCTTACTGGCTTCTGAGTCTGGTTATCTTGACTACGGTATTCGCAACATAGAGAAATTAGGCAGTGAAGCAGCCCCAGAATGTTTTGTGATCTTAGCATTTTGAGCAGTTTTGAGACCCTGAAGATGACCTGCTAGATGGAAAACAGTGAGAGTAATAATGATAATTTGCAATGGGATCAACAAAACAAGTTGAAGGTGAGCAGGGAGGGTTATTTAAAATCATTGCTACCAAAACAAAACAACAAAAAGCCTGTCACAATAAAAAGCATCTTTGTGTGTGTATGTTATAGCTAAAATTGAATAAGAAGTATTGAAGTTGCAGGTCAAGTTCCCTTTTATCAATAACTTATTTGAAAATGAAATGTATAAATAACATACATTTGAATAGTATGAATAATATTAGTCCTTCTTAAGCTACACAGGCTTTAGCTGAGTTGGTAAAGAATCTGCCTGTAATGCGGGAGACCTGACTTTGAACCCTGGATTGGGAAGATCCCCTGGAGAAGGCTACCCACTCTGGTATTCTGGCCTGGAGAATTCCATGGATGTATAGTCCATGGGGTCACAAAGAGTCAGACAGGACTGAACCACTTTCACGTTCACTTTCTTAAGGTACACAGATTGCTTTCTATTTTTTCTCACATATACCAAAATCATAGTGACCATGCATTAAAATGCATCTAACATACTGAATACATTTATTTTCAGAGTGAGAGTGTCAGTCACTCAATTGTGTCCGACTCTGTGTGACCCCACGGACTGTAGCCCACCAGGCTCTTCTGTCCATGTGATTTTCCAGGCAAGAATACTGGAGTGGGGGTTGCCATGCCCTTCTTCAGGGGATCTTCCTGACCCAGGGATCAAACCCAGATATCCTCCATTGCAGGCAGATTCTTCACCTTCTGAGCTACCAGGGTAGCATCATTTTTAGAACAATATTAATATTGCATATATTGTTTCTACTTGTTTATTGATGGTCTTGCTTAAATTTTATCAGATACTTGGACTCTTGTTGACTCTGAAATTGTGAGTCAGTGGAATTTGAATGTTTGTAACGGTGGCAAATGGTAGCGTGGTATTTCCCTATTTCTCACTGTGGACTAAAAGTTTTTGTTTTTGATGTTTGTAATCATTTAGAATCTTTCTTTTTCATTACCAAATTGTTCCAAGTTGGCACTCAGTAAATATTACCTAACCTCCATTTTAGAAACCACATACACTTCTACTTTTTGGTGTTAACTTGCACTTAATTGCTCTACCCCTCTAAGACTAATAAAACTCTATAATAAACACTGGAAAATAACTTTATTCCTATACACACTTAGAAAAGTATAAAATTATTAAAATTAGAGACTGCCATGTCAACAAAGGAGCACATATTTTTATTGTTTGAACAGCTGTTTTAATTTCAAGATTATTAAACTTTTCCATAATTAATATGAAAATATTAATATGCAAATTTTTAACAAAGGCAAATAGAAGTTTTTTAAACACAGCTTTTCAGGGTATAATGTGCTTGTTGCTTGTCCTACTCCAATCTTGGTTTTCCTGATGTGCTTGGAGTGTATGCAGTTAGTATAAACTTAGTTACTATCTTGGTATTTTTAATGTTAATTTATCTAGCAGTACTTCCTACTTACTTTGATCCTATCAACTAAGAAGAAGTCAATTTCAGAAAACCATGGGGGATAAGTAAAGAAAAAATATGACATTAGCTGTTTTACACTACTTTAAAATTTATGTTAACTTTTTTTGACCCTCACAAATATTTTGAGATCCATTTTACTGCAAGGCCATCGACTAGAAATAAGTAAAAATAAGCCAGTTTACTCAAATTTTGTTTTAATTAGCTTTTTTCCAGTAATTTACAGTAATTACTAGCAATTAAAATATGCTTAATTATTATAATCATATATTTTGTGCACTTTATTCTAGTTAACTTGGCCATCTGTCTGATGACTTTTTAATCTGTTGCTTGTGGTAACAACCAGCAGATTATGATTCAACACTGACTGCTCTTTAACAAAGAAAAAGATTTTTAAAGATTTAATTTTAATGCAGTCTAAAATTACCACAGTCACAGTAAAGCTAATGAAGTTGAATTTCTTCTAAAAAATTGGAATGTATACTTCCTGTTTTCAGACGATGTTATATATGGAATACTGTATTTACACAGTTGATATGATTCAAATATATATATTTATCAGATTTTCTATTTCCATAGAAATAGATGTGATTTATTTTCCAGTTGTAGCACTCAATGATAAGATGCAAAGCTATAATTTGAACCTGTTTCTTTTATTACATTAGTGTTGGCAGACACTAAGGAAGAGCAGCTAAGTTTTATCATATTTTTAATTTGGGGCTTTATGGGTTGTGGAGATCCCCTGGAGAAGGGAATGGCCATCTACTCCAGTATTCTGGCCAGGAGAATTCCATAGACTTTATGGTCCCTGGGGTCACAAAGAGCCAGACATGACTGAGTGACTTTCACTTTAGATATTTCTATGAACTAGGTGAAAATTCGATTAAAAGGATTAATAACAGAGTGTACAATCCGGATATTTGACTCCACATAGTACTATTAGAGGTTAAAGCACTATGAAAATGTAAGATGCTAGATTATGACTTTACTTATCAATAGATGTTAAGCTGAATTGTGTTCTTTACTGAGATGCAATGGGAAAAGAAGATTCTCTTCATAAGAGTTTGATTTATAATTGTCTTTGCTCAGTTCTCTAGTAGAGTGAGGCATGCTTATATATTCATTTTTAAAGATGTAATTGAAAATCCAATTGGCCTATTCATAATGCTTTATGCAAGTGGATTGATTGTGGAAGAACAGTTTATGATGAGACTGGTATAGCAAGAAGCATACTGGACTGGACGCAGAAGACCTTAGTTCAGTATTTTAGCTCTGCTTCTTTTGCTAGCTTTGTGAGTTCCTGCAAGGAACTTAACCTCATTGAAACTCCTGGGGAGATATGATGATTTGTCTGCCTATAATTGAAATTTCTATGTGTATGTAAAAGTAAAAGGAGGGAGTCTATGTAAAAATCCTTTAAAATTGCCAAGTGCAGTTCTATTATCATTGTCATCCATAGTAATATGCAATTTTATTGTTTTTCTTATTGCTAAATGTTGTGCTGTGTGCCAGCTTACCCCATTTAATTCTCAAAATAGCTATATTCAGTTGGCATTGTTAGCAGCCCCATATGATAAATGAAAAAATTGGCATTGCCCAGAAAGTGGTGGAGCCAGGATACAAACTTAATATTTCTAAAACCCATGCCTTTAGTTAGTATGGGTTAGTATGAAAGAAGAGTTAGTAGGAAAGAGGAGAGTGAAAAAGCTGGCTTAAAACTCAACATTCAAAAAACTAAGATCATGGCATCTGGTCCCATCACTTCATGGCAAATAGATGGGGAACAGTGGAAACAGTGGCCGACTTTATTTTCTTGGGCTCCAAAATCACTGCAGATGGTGACTGCAGCCATGAAATTAAAAGACGCTTGTTCCTTGGAAGAAAATCTGTGACCAACCTGGACAGCATATTAAAAAGCAGAGATATTACTTTACCGACAAAGGTCAGTCTAGTCAAAACTATGGTTTTTCCTGTAGTCGTGTATGGATGTGAGAGTTGGACCATATAGAAAGCTGAGCACTGAAGAATTGATGCTTTTGAACTGTGGTGTTGGAGAAGACTCTGAGAGTCTCTTGGACTGCAAGGAGATCCAACCAGTCCATCCTAAAGGAAATCAGTCCTAAATATTCATTGGAAGGACTGATGTTGTAGCTGAAACTCCAATACTTTGGCCACCTGGTGTGAAGAACTGACTCACTGGAAAAGATCCTGATGCTGGGAAAGATTGAAGGTGAAAGGAGAAGGAGACGACAGAGGATGAGATGGTTGGATGGCATCACTGACTCGAGGGACGTGAGTTTGAGCAAGCTCCAGGAGTTGGCAATGGACAGGGAAGCCTGGTGTGCTGCAATCAACGGGGTTGCAAAGAGTCAGACACAACTGAGTGACTGAACTAAACTGAACTTAGTATACTTCAGCATATGAGTTTACTTTTACTTTTGTCTCGTTCCCTATACTAAGATATCCTTGAAATTAAATGTTAACCATACCAATCAGGAAATATTTTAGTGTCGATGCAGTTGTATTCAATCATCTTAGAAGTATTATCCTGATGGTTAGTTATCCATCAGAAGAGCAGGAGTTCTCTGAATTTCCCATTTAGCCAGGTTGTTTTTACCTCATGTTGTGTATTAGTTGTAGATTTTGTTTTGGCAAAGACGGAGGTGTGATTAAATTTCCGGGCATTTTTAGCTTTGGTTCTAAATATGTGACCATATTGGGACTTCCCTGGTGGCTCAGGCAGTAAAGCATCTGC